AATTTTAATTTTAATTTTAAAATTAAAACCATTATGATTTGAACCTTATACCAAAAGCAAGCTTAAATTTTCTCTAGAATCAGGACTGATCAAAGATAGACGGTAAATCACGAGCCTTGTGGTCTTGTACTCGTGAATTATACATATAGAATATATATCCTCCTAGGCAAAATAAGAGCCTTGTACCTTTACGTGTAATAATCCCCAAAACGACACTCTATTTTGACACGCAGGCCTGAATGTAGCCATGCAGATTTTATTCGTGTCAGTTTCTTCAACGTCAAATGCTACGTGTGATCATTTTCCGTTGCCAAACAAACCCTGTAAAATTACCCGAACAAAATGCCCAAGAAGAAAGATTCCCAAGAACAATGAACCTCTAAAGTGACGGTGACGACCCAATGGTTCATCCAAAGAAAAACCCAAAACCCCTTAAATCTTAATTCTTCTCTTCTTCAAGAAAGTTAAAAAAAAAAAAAAAAGGAAACAGGGAATTAAAGTGAAGAAAATGATGAACGTTGTTTCGCTTTGCCTTGTGGTGACTTCGCTCGTGACGGCGGGAGTTTTATCTCCGACGCCAAAGAAACAAAACAACGGAGATGATCTTATAGTTAAAGAGGGACACCGAGTGGTGGTTGTAGAGTACGACCAAGAAGGCCAACCCATCACCAAAGTCTCTATCTCGCCGGAGGACAAAACCCGCCAACGCTTCAATAGCGATAAGCTCAAAGAAGCCGCCTCTGTTCTTCCCAATCTCGGCCAGGGCTTGTCCACTCCGAAAGCAGATGGCGGCGGCGAAGGCGAAGGCGATGGCGAGTGGCGTAGTCCGAAAGAGCTCATCTGCGATGCCTATGGGAAATGCAAGCACAAGATTGTCGACGCGATAGGGAGGACTAAAGAGGCGGTTTCGGAGAAAGCTCACGATGTCGCTGAAAAGACGAAAGAGATGAAGGAGAAGGCGGAGGATGTTGTGGAGAAGGCGAAAGAGGCGGTTTCGGAGAAGGCGCGTGGCTTTGCTGAGAAGACAAGGGAGACGGGCCATGAGGCGCAGGATGCCACTGAGAGGAAGGCGCACGTGTTTATTGAGAAGACGAAGGAGGCGGCGCACGAGGCTGTTGAGAAGAAGAAGAAAGCGGCGTACAGAATGGAGGAGGCGGCAGAGGAATCGTACGGGAAGGCTAAAGAGGCGGTGCGGAATAAGGCCCAGGAAGTGGAGGGTCAAGCGAGAGAGAGGGCGGAGAAGACTTGGGAAGCGGCGAAGGACGCCAAGGACGTGGGGAAGACGTTCGTGAAGGACGTGGCGAGTAACGTCACGAAGTTCGCCGCGACGTTCAGGAAACAAGCTGGTGCAACTTTCAGGGAATTAGTCACCGGGAAGGCGCTGAATCCGGTGGTTGGGGTGGTTTACTTGGTGACGTTCTCGACGGCGTACGGGACGGCGGTTTGGGAGACGTTTATATTGAGTTATGTTTTGGCGGGGGCTTTGCCGAGGCAGCAGTTTGGGGTGGTGCAGAGCAAGATTTATCCCGTGTATTTCCGGACCATGGCGTGGGGGATCGGCACGGCAGTTTTGGGGTTATTGGTGACCGGCAGAGGAAAGGCCTTCAGTAGCATGGCTGAGAAGTTTCAAATCTTTAACCTTTTGGCTTCTTTGGTGTTGGTTTTTGTTAATATGCTCTACTTAGAGCCTAGAGCCACTAAGGTAACAATTTTTTTTTTCTTTTTAGCTTTCGATGAGTACATTTTTTTAAGTTTCTTTCATACCGCATTTCAGTGGTTAACTAGGCTATAATAACTAGGTTATATTGTAGTAGTTAGAAGATAATATGCTACATGCGTGATTAATTGTTGGTGCGTTCTTCTAATCAAATCCTAGTTCATATATGTACACATAAACATATATTGTTGTATGTTGGTTAGTTTCTGGGGATGGAAGCTAATATTGAGTTTTTAGTAATTACTGCGCCCTCTTGTTGGTGCTAGATAGCGCGTCCGAATTATAGAGCGACGGAGGGAAAGACTAGGAATTTCTGTCGAATTTTAGAGCGACGGAGGGAAAAACTAGTAATTTCTAATTGCAGTTCTTATTCTAGTGGACGTGCTTCTAATCTTTTAGGACTGATCAAATTATGATAATTTAATGTCATTGTTTCTACTAACATAGTATAATTTGTCGATGTAGTTATTTGTTGGAGTTGTTAGATATATGAATATATGTAGGTCTGGAAAAAAAAGATCAATGGATCATAGTATCATTAGGCCGTGAATTTTGATATAGTGTAAAGTAATTAGATAGACACCTTATATTTTACTTTAATATTTTGTTGCAAACAATATATCATGCAGGTAATGTTTGAGAGGATGAGGGTCGAGAAAGAAGAGGGGAGAGGAAGAGAAGAGCTTCCTGCGGAGCAGCCATCGGCGGCAGAGCCTGCAGTGTCGTCCATGCCGGCAGAAACGGCGGAGCAGGAGGCAGTTCGGAACAGGATTTTGTCGTTGAATGGGAGGCTAAAGAAGCTAAATACGTGGTCATCTTTTCTCAACATCCTATCTCTAATGTCCCTTTCTTGGCATGTCTATTACCTAGGACAGCGTCTGCACATGACCTATTGATATACAAGATGGAATTTCGGATGTCAAATGTAACTATTTTTGCTGCTTTTGGTGGGGATATATATATATATATATATATATGTTGTATAAATCTCGGTTTTCTGTTCCTAGAATCCTAGGACTGTCCCCATGTACATACATACATGCCTTACAAGCTATAGACGACTTTGTATTGGAGTGCTATGTTTAGATCGTGCTATATTATCCCAAGATATGCATATGATTTCTTTTAGATAACGTACTGCCAATGTACCTCGTTCGTGGGATTTAACTCCAAAATCTTCGAAAGATGTTGGAAAGTAGCATCTCATTGGTGAGCAATGAAGTGGCATCAAGTGACAATGCGAGAGTTTAGGAGTAAACAATAAATGTCATTAAAATTCAAGTGACAATGCGAGAGTTTTAAAATTCGAGGAGTAAATCAGAAATGTCATTAAAATTCAGGACTTAGTGAGTGAGGATTTATCCATCAATCTATTTAGGGGATTTATCCGTCAATTCATTTACTATCTTCTTAAATATCTTCTTTTACTATCTTCTTAAATGGAGCAAGAAAAATCTGATTTAAACGGTTTACTATTCTCTTAAATGGAGCGAGAAAAACCCAATTTAAACGAGTTAGTATTCTTAAATGGAGCGAGAAAAATCCGATTTAAACGGTTTACTATCCTCTTAAATGGAGCAAGAAAAATTCGATTTAAACGGTTTACTATCCTCTTAAATGGAATGAGAAAAACCCGATTTAAACGATTTAAACGAGTTAGTATTCTTAAATGAAGCGAGAAAAATCCGATTTAAACGGTTTACTATCCTCTTAAATGGAGCGAGAAAACGGGTTAGGGTTGCAAACACGTTAAAATTGTAACCCTATTATATTTTTTTGTTAGTTATGAAGTGGGGATGGGCGTTTGAAGGTCCCCTATTCTACATAACATATTATATGTTAAAATTTAAAACTATGGCTATTAATTAATTATTTATTAATTCTATTATGAAAAAAATTAATTGGATAAATAGGTTAATTATCACGAGTTTTCTAAACGAGTTACAGGGAAATTCGTCTCAGTTCTCCTAAATTTATGCGGAGTTAATTGGGGGGAGATGGAGAGTGTTTTTTTGAATGGGTTGGTGAGAAGATCATCCCACTTTAAATCCGTTTCGTTGCCATAACGTCCCGCCAATAATGATAATGAGAGAGAAGAAAAAAAAAATAAAAGGAAATAGGAAAAAGAAAAAAAGGCATAATTGTATGCGTGCAAGAACGTGCTCTGTGGTTGGCCTCCATAAAGTACGTGTTACACTTGCATGCCTTCAAATAATAATAATAATAATAATAATAATAAAGGACTCTGTGGAACATGTGGGGATAACACCATGTAACTCACCTTTTCCAGCTGCGTCGTGAATCGTCATCCTTTACCTGCAAAACGATCGCCTACTAGGTTCAATCATGAAAATTTTAAATGCAAGTACCTCTGCCTCATGTATGATCTCATAAACATACAAAATAATTATAATTAATACTCATCAGTAATAAGTATCATTATGAACACCTAATTTATCTGAACGCAAACAAAAAAAACAAAAAAAAACGTACACACATAATCTAACGAATACGCTGAATTGTCCAAGTGCCACTTCGAATGTACTTGTGTTGGATGGTCACTCGGTAAATCTCGTTTTCAATGGGTACTCTTAGTTATATATATATATGTGTGTGTGTGTTTATTTGTTGTTTTATTTTATATTTCTTATTGTTCTATTTGTCTCTTTCACTAAAATCACGTTCTCATTATTTTATGATCACGCAAACCACGCAAGAAATTTGATTATTGATTAAGAAAGAAAAAGATGAGCTGAATCTATTTATCACGTCTGCGACAATAATTCATAAATCGGATCTGTGATTGGTTTGTTGTGTGATTGTAGCAGTAGTCGTAGTAGTCATTAATGGACATTTCCACTTCTAACCGCTTCGGATCCGACGATGCCGAAACTCCGATGCTCGAAAACATCGCCGTCGACTACAAGGGCCGTCCTGCCTACCGATTCAGCTCCGGCGGTTGGAGATCGGCGGCATTTATCATAGGTGAGTCCTGAAGGGAGCGAAACGCCTGGAAGAAATTGTTTGTCGATTAAATTAATGTCATGTGATCATTTCGAAGTTTTGATGGGGTTGATTATGGCAGGTGTGGAGATTGGGGAAAGGTTTGCCTACTACGGAATCTCCGGCAACCTTATAATGTATTTGACAGGGCCGCTCCGGCAGTCGACAGCGTCGGCAGCGGCAAGCGTCAACGCGTGGGGCGGCGTGGCGTCGCTGCTGCCTCTCTTGGGGGCTTTCGTTGCCGACACTTTTCTTGGCCGCTACCGCACCATCGCCCTCGCTACTCTGCTCTATATCCTGGTTTGTGTCTCTGATTGACTGATTTCAACGCTCTACTTTTTGCTTGTTTTTTCGGTTTTAATACTTTTTTTTTATCTGTTTGTCTTGGTTACTGACGATTCCGCCGAAGAAATAGAAAACAACGAAAATGAAGGGGTTTATTTTTAGAGAAAGTAGCACGTGAACGTTTGAGAGGAATAAAATGATAGAAACAACAAATAGATTGAGGAAAAAAATTATTTAGAAAAGCGAAAATAAAACCAGATTTCGACTCAAAATAGTTTTTAGATTTTTTTAAAAGCTTTTATTATTATTATTAATATTATTAATATTATTATTATTACTATTATTTTATCTCTCTTAAAGAAGATGATAGCAGATAATTCACCAATGAACACATCTGAATATTTTGGAAAATTTTGGGTGCGTTTAGAACTCGTTTCAAAATAATTTTATTTTTTATATAAAAATAAAAATGAAAACGTTTTTAATTTCAGATAGAAATTATTTTTAAAAATGTGTTTAGTAGTTATCAAGAGATTATTTTCAGTATAAAAAACTCATTAATATCTCTCTCTCTTTCTCTCAGCTCGAGAGAGGAGAAAACGAAAATAAAAAATAAAAAACGACTAAAAGTTATTTTTCATTTCTCTCTCATTTTACACTAAACCAAAAAATCGTTTTTATTTTCATTTTTTGTCTTTATTACGCCAAACACCGTTTTAAAAACGTTTTTATTTTTTCTTTCTCAAAAAACGTAAAAAATAAAAACGAGATCAATTCCAAACACGGCCTTTATTTTGAAACAATGGATCACCTATGTGCATAAAAGTTATGCAAGACATAATTTTTCCTATTTTTCTTTCCATTTGAAGAAATGACTTGGAAATGCTCCTATCAATCACAGTGTGGCATGTTAAATTGCTGTATAACCCGGCTTAAATTTGGATCAATTGCAGGCGCTAGGTTTGTTGACTCTATCGGCTGTTCTGCTATCTTCGAGTGGTTCTGACAGCCAAACCAAGGACATCGTGTCATGTTCTCCTCCTTTATTCCAAGTAATATTATTCTTCTTTTCTCTCTATCTAGTAGCATTTGCTCAAGGTGGACACAAGCCATGCACTCAGGCTTTTGGGGCCGATCAATTTGACGGTGACGACCCAGAGGAGTGCAAATCCAAGAGCTCATTCTTCAACTGGTGGTATTTGGGCGTGTGCTTCGGTGCCATGGTAACAATTGCGATTGTGAGCTACATACAAGAAAATCTTAGTTGGGCACTTGGATTTGGAATTCCTTGTATAGCAATGGTTATTGTATTGGTGGTTTTCTTTCTGGGAACTACAACTTACAGGTTTACCATTACACACAATGAGGAAGGTCCATTTGTGAGGATCGGTAGGGTGTTTGCTGCGGCATTTAAGAACCGGCGAAGAACTCCATCCATTATAGCCAATGAAGTGGAAGTTGTGTCTCACCAAGGTTCTGAACAATACAAGTAAGGAACTTCGCTTTGTGCATATGTTCTTCAAGACATGTATGAGTCCAAACCTTAAAATTGCCCGTCATAGGTCTCTTCAAGAACTTTTTCTGACCCACATTTAATGTTTGGAATAAGGAAAAAACGGAACTTTTGAAATATGCAATCCTTGTACAGATTATGATCATGTGATTTTCTGCATTTTGTTTCTATAATACCTGTTGAAGTAATTATAATTGTAGAGAAGAACTCCTTTATTGAACACCAATGTAAGTTTGCACTTTTTAGGTTTTAAACTTCTTCACCACCCAATACAGATTATACTATGAATGACTTCGTTGATTATTTTACATCATTATGGTCTGGCAGATTCCTCAACAAAGCCTTGATTGCACGAAACCATTTAAAGGAAAATGGTTGGGTTTGTAGTGTAGCCGAGGTTGAAGAGGCAAAGGCTGTACTTAGACTTGTTCCGATTTGGGGGACATGCTTGCCATACGGTATTGTGTTTGCTCAGTTCTCAACTTTCTTCACAAAGCAAGGGGCTACAATGGAGAGAACAATTGTATCTGACTTTAAATTACCAGCTGCTTCACTACTATGCTTCATCAGCATTGCCTCAATCATCTTCATTCCCATTTATGACCGCATTTTTGTTCCGTTCGCCAGAGCTCTCACCAGAAAACCATCCGGCATCACAACCATACAGAGAATAGGAGCCGGAATCCTCATGTCTGTTTTCACAATGATAATTGCAGCTATCGTTGAGATCAAACGGCTGAAAACCGCTGAAGAAAACAACCTTGTTGATAAGCCAAGTGCGACAATCCCAATGAGCGTCTGGTGGTTGTTACCTCAGTACATCTTGTCTGGAATAACTGATGTCTTTACCATGGTTGGCCTGCAAGAGTTCTTCTATGATGAGGTGCCAATAGAACTAAGGAGCATCGGACTTGCCCTTTACCTTAGTATATTTGGTGTTGGGAACTTCTTAAGCAGTTTTCTTGTCTCTGTCATTGAGAAAACAACTGGCGGGGCTGGCCGAGATAGTTGGTTTTCGGATAATCTAAATCGGGCTCATCTTGATTACTTCTATTGGCTGCTTGCCGGACTCAGTGCTCTGGGATTTGCAGCCTACTTCCATTTTGCGAGATCTTACATTTATAATAGAAGCGGCACAATGTAAATTAATGCTATGTTTTGCCATTCTTGTGTATGTCATTGGTGCAATATACAACAGGATTTTATACAAAAGATAAAGATTAGATTCCTTACTTGTCCATGTTCTGTTAAATCTGTTTTTGTTGATATTGACTTCAGCCCCAGATGTCCATCCATAGGACACTCTAATGCTTAAATTAGATTTCCTCATATATATGTATGAGTCTTTGTAATAAGCATTAAGTAAATGCGTCTCTCTTCTAGCAAAATATATATATGTATATATATATATAAACTATGTTTTTTTTTTTCCCTTGCCCCTCGTGGAATAGATGCTAAGTATTGTATCTACATCAGCATAGTAATAGATGCTAAATATTGTATCTAAACTATGTTTTTTTTTTTCCCTTGCCCCTCGTGGAATAGATTCTAAGTATTGTATCTACATCAGCATAGTAATAGATGCTAAATATTGTATCTACATCAGCATAGTAATAGATGCTAAATATTGTATCTACATCAGCATAGTACCTAAATTATTATGCTTTTTTTAAAAAAAAAAAAAATTATGTTAAGTACAAACCTATATTTGCATGTTTTGCTATTAAAAAAAAGGAAAAAAAAAAAAAAAAACTGTTTTTTGGTGCTCATAGTAAATGCCTAAGAAAGTGGTCTGCAACAATAAGACGTGTTTGTTTTACCACTCAAGCTGGGAATTTGAGTTTTTATTTGAGAGAAAATATTATATTAAAAAGTTAAATTTGAATTTTTATGAGAGAAAACACTGTAGTAATAAAACGTTGTGATTTGAGCTGTCAAAAGAACGATGCCTAAATAATTATTATGTTAAATAATATTTATTAAATTAAAATCAAATTTCAATAAATATTTCATTACCCAAATAAAAAAGGAACAAAAAAAAAAGATCAAGTTTCAGATGAATAACACAATAACCATAGTAAACAACACCAAAAATGAAGACAAAAGCTGACACTTTTTTTTTTTTTTTTGGCCATAGTAAAGCGTTCAAATATAGAATGATGTTAACGTCAAAAAATATTAAAAAACATTTCACATACATAATAAGTATAATGTTTTGTAAAGTCTGCGGGCATGACATTTAAAAGTTTAGGGGCATAGTGAGACACCTTATATTTTTTAAGGGCTAAACTTGAAACCAATACAGTAATTTTACTAAATTACCCTAATTAAAAGTATTATGTGTACCTCACATGTTAATTCCATAAATTTTTTAACGGTTTCGTAATAGATGAATTGAGAGTGTAACGTCTGCAAAGTTCGAAGATCATTCGTGTGACACTTGAAAGTTTAGGAATAAAATGAGACAAGGAGTATTTCTCAAGCCGAGTTAAAATAAAAATAAACTATATGTATATGAATATATATATATATATGACGAATTTTCAACCCATACGTATATATGTTAGATGCCCTCACATACATATGACTTAATAACACTACTAGACTGTTGCAAAGGGGAAAAGAAATACATATATAACAGTACTAGACGAATCGCTTGTTTATTTTGATAAACAAAGTAAGCTATAGCGATCAAACTATTCACCAGTTCATTGACAAAATGATACTCTAATTAACAGCAGTTCCCAAAGCACAGCCGAGTAGGTGTAACGAGGCAAGAACATCTACTAGGGCAAAATGTGCCGTTTACACACGGACCACAGTTATTTCTCTGCAGCAGCTTTCTAGTGATCCCATTTGTTTCAAATGGAAGATCAACCTTAACATCGACCAAAAAATGGCTGCCAAATGCAGTCGGAAGAACGGAAATAGTGGCAAGAAGTACCGCTACCGCTACCATCAGCCCCAAGCTGCTAGTCTTTTTCTTTGCCTCCATATTTCTTTTGTCCTTTTTTTTTCACTCTTTCTTTGCTATGAGAATAATTGAATGGCTCCGCAAACACAAGCCCTTTTATAGATCATTGGGGATTTATTGGCATGTTTGTCAATATTGAATTATGTACATATATATCTTATCCACAAATGAGAAAATTGAAGAAAAAGACAAGCTTGTTTGAGTATCATCAATTATTGGTATCTTTTTTCTTACCTTTCTTTCAAGGCCCACCCTATAGATCTCAATATCTCATGCATTGAACCATGAATATTGGAGAAAAAATGATATAATAACAAAGGGAGTGCTAGCACACCGGCGGCGTCAGACGCTATAGCCGCCCATTGGGACTTTCTTCAACGTGAAAAAGTATGGATGGAAGACGTTTATTACTATTATTATTATTTTGAATGGGTTTATTTCTATTATTATTAAGGTTAATTTCAAAAATAACACTTTTAAAAATTTAATAGAACTGCTTTTTGGGACTTTCCTTTCTAACTAAGACACATCATCAAATTTAAAATCCCACGCAAGACTTCATTTATTTCACCAATTTGAGTTTTCAGTTTTAGATTTTTACAGTAAAAAGTTATCAGAAAATGTCACATTTAACTTTTTCTGTTACAGTAAAAAGCTCTCAAAAAATATTACATCTCAACTCGAATTGAAAACTCAAATATGCGAAGTGAACGAGGATGGTCAAAAATACTCTAGGCAAAAACTAACCATTACGTTTTGCAGTTTTCCTCTTTCATTTCTCTCTTCACTTTAGGGCCATTTAATCCCAGTTTGATTCCAATGCACGTTGGTTTGATGATTGTGATAATGATGCTTCTCCCTTCTCGATCGATGCCCGATCTTTCTTGGTTGTTTCCAGAGTTGATGATCATCTCTCTATTAAAAGCTTTTTCGTTGTCGTCTGTAATTGTTCTTCCTTTTCTCTGTTTAGATTGGTTTGAGTTTGTAATAACATTCATTTTACTCCACCTTGTTTTTGCGTTTGTTGTGTTTGTTTAAATTTCGTTTATTTTACCGATTCGAATTTAAAATTTAAATTTTAGTATATTAAAAAAATTTAAAAAACAGTCACATCTAACTTTTTTGTTACAATAAAAAATTCTCACGTAAAGTCACATCTTAATTCAAATTAAAAATTTGAATCAGCCCTTAGTATTCATTATGTTCTTTGTCTATCAGATTTTTTCTTGTCAGGTTTTTTGATGTCCTTGATGCTACATGTCAGAGTCACAACATCGATTGATTAAATATTATTATCAATTATAGAGGATTTGTTAAGAAGTCACTACTCAGTGTACGCCTTTGAGTGTCTATTTATGGATCCCAAAATACTCACTCATTTTACGTTTCACTCGAATTTACATATTAAACCGTTTGTTTGCGATGTTGAATTTTCTATAGCAGGGTATACACGGGAGTGGATTAATATTTGTATTGTCTTTAAATATTAGGGAAATTCCTATAAACAAAAAGAAGAATTTATCACTTTTTACATAGGGCTTCTTCTCTAGAGAATTTTCCTACTGTGCTTTCTTAATTGATAACCTAATTCAGAGGTCGTATAATGTGGCAGGTTCTTTGATAAAGCCTCAATTGCGTGAAGCAGTTGGTTCTGTAGCATAATTAATGTTGGCTTGAATTCAGAGCCTATTTGACGTTGCTTTTTAAAAGTCGGATTATTCTTTAAGGTCATTTTTAATTTATCTTATAAATTTTAAAAATTTTTATTTTATTTTTTAAATTTTAAATTATTATCACTTAACCCATTTTGTTATAATTTTTATTAAAATTAGACAAAAAAAGAGGAGTTATGTGTAATGATATAGTTTTTATTTATTTTTTAAACATAAACCCAAACAAAAAGATCGCATGACTGCGTTATTCTTTTTTTCTATTTGATTTTAACAGAAATTATAACAGAAAAAATTAAGTGAAAATAATTTAAACTTTAAAATGTAAAACTAGAGTTTTTAAAATTTAATGGACAAAGTAAAAATGAACTTAACACTTAGGAGCAATCGGTCATAATAATCCTTAAAAGTTACTTTTAGCTTATAGGTCCAATATGGCTTCGAAAAGTGTTTAAAACACTTTCTAAACGGTTTTAGCCTTGCACTCAAAGCTACATTTTATAACTTTTCAAAAAAGCTGTTCTAGCTGTTAGTTTACTAATTCATCTCAAAAGTTTAAGCTGTTAAGATGTGAACCAATAATAGTTTTATACTTTAACACTCGTCCTCACGTGTGGCCTGGACAATGGGTAATCGTGTGAATAAATTAATTAGAAAGCCCAACACGTGAATATTTAAGACCGAGATATATTAAAAACCCAACACATGATAATTTTTTAAATGGAGATAAAGAGTGTAATTACGGGGATTTAAACTCAAAACCTCCCGCTCTGATACCATTTTAGTTTACCAATCAATCCTAAAAGCTTAAGCTGTTAGGAGGTGGGCCAACAATAATTTTATACTTTAACACCAGCTAAAAAGATTTTAAAACAGTACCAAAAATTAAATAAGACTTCAAAAACATCATTGCAATATGTTTGCTTATAATGTACAAGATTTAAAATACCATATTTCACTTGATTTTGATTTCGTAGATCGAAACGTGCTTGTGGGATTTTTGTGTTAAAGACCAAGGATTCCTCTATAAGTTTTGGGACCTAAGATCAGATTGTCTCTCAGTGAAATTAAACATATGTGAGCTGCAATACATTGCCCTAATTTTTTTTTTTAAGAGTCTTGTTATTTAATAATTAGAGGTTTTTATCTTAAAATTATAAGTTCTATTAATCTTTCAAATTCAGTGTTCCATGAGTTTTTTTCACTGGACTCACTAATTTGCTACTTTTTTAAGTCAGAGGGAGCGAATGCTAATTTTTTAAATTTAAAAGGTAAAGTATAAAAGTGACTCATATAACTGAAAAATTTATAAATTTCATAATTTTTAAATAACGGTCTAACTATAGTACCTTATGAGTTGTGGGTAAGATATTTTTTGATACCCTACGCACAGACTAATTTAAAAAATAATAATAATAAAAACTTTGTCTGATAACGCTCTTTGCTTTTGTGCTTAAATGGTACGTGATTTACGTTTCTTATGCAAAAATTTTTAGGTTATAAAATGTAGACTGCCCTACATTAATGTTCAAACTAGGGCCGGCAATATGGGTCACGACACGACTCGAAAACGACATGAATTTTACGGGTTAGGATTGAGAAAAAAGATTTTGGGTCAGAATTTGGTCGACCTGAAATTGACATGAAAAACACGGTTCAATTTTGGGTTGGACCCGCCTAACCCGAACACAACACGAAACTCATAAAAAACTAAAAAATACATATATTTTTCATTTTATATTTTAAATTTTATTATAAACTTGTGATATCATGATAGTTATACTCAAAATCTTATACTATTATTTGCTTAATTTCAATGGATGTTATTGTAATTTAGTGTGTTATGAATTTTAAGTTATTTCTAATATATAAAAAAGTAAATAAAAGTATACAATTTTTGTGTCAATTTCATGTCACGGGTCATTTTTGGGTCGTGTCATGTCAACTCGTAAAGTAGTCGTGTCGTGTTCGTGTTGCGATTTTTAAAAAATTTCGTGTCACGGGTCGTGTTCGGATTGACTGTAAATTTTTAAAAAACGATCAAAATACGACGCGAACACTACATGTGACACGAATTACCACCCCTAGTTCAACCATTATCAAATTTAGAGTGCCCTTCAATGTTCAAACAATAATTATTGTTCACAACGAAAGTCCAAATTGTATTTAATTATTTCCGCTTGGATTAATGAATAAGCGAGAGAAAACTAAATAGGTTTTACATTGAAAATGACTTCCACCGCTAATGTTGCCGATGTTGTCCATCAATTAATTATTACTTGCAAGAAATCTTGGCATAACGTAGAAAACCAATTCCCCTAGTATTGAAAAAGGTTGAAGAAGGAGTTCTCAAAAATCAAGGTTGAAAAAAAAAATGAACAGGAGATTAGAAATAACTTTAATCGACATATGTTTTTAACCATAGACTTGCGCACCGATTGCTTTTTTCTTTTTTTTACAAGCTAAAAAAAACCAATTTAAACTGCAATACATCAAAATGGTCAAAATAATATTAAAAAAATAACAATCTAATAAATTTAATGAAATATTGTCAATTTTCAGTGAAATGTAATGAATTGGTTTAAAATTGTTTTCCATTATATAGGCTAGAATGAAAATTGGTAATTTTTATTTTTTTATAAAATGAAAAATATTTTTTAAGATGCTTAATTTTAAATTTTCACTGATTACTCTTAATAATTATTTTTTTTCTCTCTTTTAGCATGTTAGTTAATGAAAATTAACCGCAAGGACTAATAGCTAGAGTGGTAATATGGATTACGATACGATAACACAATTTAAAAACGACACGAATTTCACGGGTTAAAATTGAGAAAAAAGATATTCGAGTTCGAATTGACTCGACCTGTAATTGACACAAAAACATTGGCCCATTTCGAGTTAGATCCACTAAACCCGAACGCGGCACGAAATACGTAAAAATTTAAAATATATATTTTTATTACATATTTTAAATTTTATTATAAACTTGTGATATCATGATAGTTCTACTCAAAATTTTATAATATTATTTATTTAATTTTAATAGATATTATTATATTTTAATGTGTTATAAATTTTAAGTTATTTTTAATATTCAGTGTCAATTTTAAATTCACAGATTAATTTCATGTCATGAGTAATTTTTGTATTATGTTAAAAAATTATACCATATTCGTATTACAATTTTTTTAAAAAAAATTATATTACGGATCGTGTTTAAATTAATTGTAAATTTAAAAAGAAACAACTAAAATAAGATTAGCACACGATACACGAATTGCAAAACCTACCAACGGCGGTTATTGATGGCTCTAGAGCTTCCCATGCCTCCTGTTGCTCGGAAGGAATTCCAGAGTATTCTTCATTGAATTTCTACGAAATCAAATGTAAACTCGACGGGTAGATTCGCCAAATCATGATAATCCAAAAGATATTCACAAATTCATGAATTCCAACAAAAAAAAAAACACCATAATCAACTGTAAACAGCAATCTATAAACTACGAATTTGTCTCAAATTTACACGTAAAATTTACGAACAAAAAAAAAACATAAAAAATAAAATCAATTCAAAAGAGGAACCGTAGCCCTAGAATCATCATCACCGGCGCCGAAATCCTCTTCCAGTTCCCCATCGTCGCCACAATCGTACATCGATCCGACGAGAAGAAGCTGATCCTCCAAGTATCTCTGCAGCAACATGATCCCGATCTCTTCTACGCCGCCGCGCTCCGTCGTGTCTCGCCCGCCGCAGTTCCCCTCCTCGCACCGCCTGAGCCGCTCGTCGTTCTCCTCCGAGCCGTCGGAGATCTTCCCGCGGCGGCGGCGGCAGAGGCGGAGACAGAGCTCGGCGGCGCAGAGGAGAGGGAAGACGGCGCAGAGGAAAGGGAGGAGGATCGGCGAGCAGAGGAAGAGGACGAGGTAGCGGATCGGGCGGGCCCGCAGCCACGTGGATGACGAGGATGCGGCGGTGGCTAGCATGATCGGCTTCTCTGAGGGGAAGATCGTGGCCGTCGGATGAGATGGAGATGGAGATGATGATCGGGATCGGTTAGATTCATCGCTGGGTTTTCTGGGGAGCGATGGCCGATTGTGGTATTGACTATTGAGGAAATGCTAAAATGGTGGAAGCGACAGTGCGCACATGAATTTATGAATTTTATATTAGTGGGAAGAGCATGAGAGCATGTGAGTTCTGTGGGGTGTGGACTTTTGGGAAACTCTCTTTTTTGAATTTTGCATATTGTATATTGTATTAGACTATGCCAACGGCGCAAGGCGACAGATGGGCTTGGGGCTCTGCTTTGGCGCGTAACAAGGGGTTGAGTGAGGAGTGGGAATAAACAAAATCTCTTTGATTAAATTTGGAAATTCTCTATGTCATAGTACAGTATCCAGTTCTATATAATATGTTATTAAGGGATAATATTAATTTAGTACTCTATTTATAGCGAAATTGTATTAAAATATCTCGTATTTTTAATTATTTTAAATTGATACATTCTACCATTTAAAATATCAATTTTTAGATGATGTCATTTTTTAAGACATGAAATATTGAAGTTATTCTTTTTAATAATTTCTAATTTGGTTGACCTAAATGTACTCTTATTAAACGTTAGAAAAAACTTATCCCTATAATCAAACGTTCTTTTTGCCTCCACATATTTTAAAAGAATAAAATTCGGGTCAACTAAATCAAAAATTATGATAGAGGGTAAATTTCATATTTCATATCTTAAAAAACGGTCTTGTGCATCAAAAAATAAATCTTAAAACGTAGAGACGTCAAATTAAAATTATAAAAAGCACAATGTACTAAAATACGATTTTGCTATAACAATAGTTATTGTTACATTTCACAGAAATAATGCATCGTTAAGTCGTTAAGAAATTTTCTTACGCTAACATAGAATAATACATAACATATAAATTTTAAGATAAACGTAACGGTTAAAAAATCATAGACTATTAGTAGTCTATTTTTATAAAAATTAACGGAGTAAGTCTCAAAAAAAAAAAAATCTAATATATTCATATATACTTGTAGACAAAGAAATGGGTTCCAAGAGAAAATTGCTTGACTTCAATTTTCCTCTTTGATTCTTCCCGTACCGTATTCCTAGTATGAAAATGAAATGGTGAAAATGAGAGAAAAAAGGGAGTAGCTCGTTCTATGAGGAAGGAAATGGCCGAGGAGAGTGACGACAAAGTAAGGGATGTAGAAGAGAGCACCGACGACATGTGGTGGAGTCAAAAAAAAAAAAAATTTCTGTACAGTGGATGTTAAAAAATAAAGATATATTTTTGTTGAATGAGAATATAGTTACAAACTTTTTTTCAATTAATGAAAAACGACGCATTTATAATTAATCTTATAAAGTGAAGGCACAACTAACATTTTACAATAGGGATCAAATTTCTAAAGATCAAGAGTGGGCATGTGCTCCCACTTAGTTATATATGGCTCCGCCCTGGCGGGTGCAGTGATGATTTACGGTGTTGTTCAAGAGCAGAGCTTCAATGGTGATGTTGGGTGTGGAGGAAGGAAAGAGGTGTACTTTAATTTCAATTTCGTTTTACTTATCGTTCTTGATATCTGAAAACAAGAGAGCAGGTAGGAAAGAAAAGGGCAGATATAATTACTCTGGAGCCTGTTTAGTTTGTTAATTTAAATTTTTAATTTAAATTAAGATATAATTTTTTATAAATTTTTTTTATTGTAATAAAAAAATTAAATCTAACTGTTTTTAAAAATATTTTATTATAATAAAATTTAAATTAATAAAATAAATGAGATCATAGTACTTTATTCTATTGAGGTAACTCATTATTCAAAAAAAAAAAAAATAGCGTCTAAGACCTTTTTCTGGAATCTGAAAAGTGAAATGGCAATTATGCTCTTGCAATTCAAAAATAATAATAAAATATATTTAAAAAGGAGAATGTTAGGAGGCAAATAAACGTAGGGTCCGTTCAGTTCGCTAATTCGAGTTGAGATGTGATATTATGTGATAATTTTTTACTGTAGTAAAAATATTAGATGTGACTGTTTCTGAGAGCTTTTTACTGTAGTAAAACTCGAATTAGCGAAAAGAACGGGGCCGTAAAACCTCCCACTCCCGATATTAACAGTATCTAATCAAATAAATAATCTATATTGAGTGGACGTTTAATTCATAGATTCAGAATTATAATTCAAAATTATTATTAATTTACGTGTATTTTTTATGAGAGAAAATACTGTAACGAATTACGAACTATAATTCAAATCATGACATGAATCTAACAACCAAACAATACATGAGTTTCTTCTCTTTTCTATCATCAAACCCACACACCACTGGAGAAGTATTTGAGTTTTTTCTTCACCACCAGACTTCACCGTTGTCTCGTACGTCACCGTCATTGGCAACTGGGCCCCCTCCACTCCCCATCGTCTAACTCGAACCCCATTTGACTAGGTCACCTTTGATATCTCATGCAAGAGTCATTGCTCTTTCTTAGCAGAGGTCGTCGGCGTCGAAGAAGAAGGAGACGTGTAGCCGGGGTGGTGGGTTAGTGCCGGGGTGGGCCGATGTCGACATGGGAGACATCCTCCTGCCACCGGAGGAGATCTCGGCGCTTGGACAGAGAAAAGTCCGTCAGTTTGTGTTTAGTCACATCTGAACAGAATTTCAAAGCACCATAACATAGACATTCCCATAAAAAAAAATTAATTCCCAGAGGGACACATGCCAATTCTTTTTGTTATAATTTTGGTTGTTTATTTTTTATTTTTTAATTTTCACATTCTTTATCTATCGTTTTTTTATGTGGTTTTAAACTGAAAGGGAAAAATGTCACATTTTTAAAGTTAATCTTCGTTCGGTTCGTGAATTCGAGTTTTCAATTTGAGTTGAGATGTGATATTTTCTGAGAGTTTTTAACTGTAACAGAAAAACTTAGATGTAATATTTTCTGATAACTTTTAACTGTAAAAACTTAAAATTAAAAACTTGAATCGATAAAATGAACGAAATCTAAATTACAACCTTAATAAAGTCGAAAACTACAAATAACTCAAAACCATATTTTTAAAAAATTCTTAAAATTTATTATCTGTCTATCATTGATGTGGTCATAATTCCATCAAACCAGGTTAATTGTTATTGTATTAAAAAGCTCTTTCCCACTTGCCACCATAAGGTATAGCGTTTAAATTTAAATCCCTCTTTTCCCTTTAAAAAGAACAAAAAAAAAAAAATACAAAAAAAGAAACAAAAGTGTTGTGTGGGAAAATGTGGGTGACATGTGGAACGGCGACAGCGTGACACGTGGCCATATTTTTCTCAAAAAGTGGCAACTCCCGACGCCAAGAGTTCGACTACCCTCGGCGCTTGGAGTTCACTACCCCTCGACACTGCAAAAAAAGGCCCAAATTAGGGCGTCGACCCTTTGTGCCGTCGAGGGGAACGCTCTTCAGAAAGAAACCTGACATCATAAGTTGCGTCTAAAGGTGGGAGACATCTGCAATACGGGCATTAATTGCGAAACCCCTAAACCGCCCTGCAGTGGGCAGTAAGAGATTACAGGAATCCACAGAGCCGTGATAGAAGACCAATTGGCTGAGTGAACAGCCCAAAAGGTGATTAGTGGGCTACGGTCTTAGCCAAGAAAGTAGGCCACTCGAGTACTTCCACCTACGAAGGAAAACCACCCACGAAGGAAGCTTGGGCTATAAAAGGGGCAAAGCCCCATACACTAAGAGAGAGCTCTCCGAAGCATTAGACAACAGAAAGGATACGTGCATGTAAATTGTAAAGAGTCCTAAAGAAATATACATACATAAGTGGATGTAGCTCCTCATTAACAGAGTGAACCACTATAAATCTCGTGTGTCATCTCATTCAAGTGTTATATTCATGCTTATAAAACACAACAAATACTTCATAGCATAATTTCAAATATATAACTAATTTCTAGCCGATAACTCCACAGGATACTAGAGGATGATCCGGCGTATTTCTGTTGACGAAATTTCACCGTCAACAAAAAGCATTGAGCTTTCTTTAAGGAAGTAGTTTTCGTTCGTTTTCTCATATTTATCCCCAATTAAAAGCAGATTTTGATGTAAGCTCTTATTCTTGTTTTTTTTCTTAATAATATCATATCAAATCAATTAAAAGATTATATAAATGCATTACATTTTTATTGACAAATTAATTAAAATATTTTTATTAACGTGACACATTTTTAGGCTTTAGAAAAGAACACAGACACGTGGATATGTTGGCCGAATCCACTAAAAACACCATGTCCGACCTCATTTCTTCTTTAATCGAAGAATTCAGACGAGGACGTGGGGACATTGGGCCTTATTGATGCATTAACTCTGTAGTTTTCGACCATTTTTTCATTAGAAAGGTGATTAAAGTTACTAATTAAAGGGGCAAAAAAAAAAAAAAAAAAAAAGAGGAGAAAGAATAGTGAAGTCTCCATGTCTAGCCAAAATGGCTTTTTCAACGTCCATTTGTGGTCTGACATGTGCAATGAAGGATATGTTGCACAAGCTCTCCTCTCCTTAAATTTGCCAGAAAAAGCAAAAGCAAAAATTAAGAGATTAGACCAAAACGTATATAAATCAATCATCGCATCGTCAACTTCTCAACTCTTCATCTGATACCCACGCGCCAAGTTGTTCGACTCGAATTCTACACGTGATATGCACGCGTAGATGCTGCAGCTCCGCTTGCACTGATGCCTCCCAAAGCCGAATTCCTGAAAACGATGACGTTGAGCCTTCCCAGCCTTACACGCCTTAAGCGATATCGCCACGTATTTACCGTCGATTATCACCGGTGGGACCACATTGACAGCGTTTTAGTCTGATCCAACGGCGAAGAATCGCTCATTAAATTACTTCACCAAAAGCGTATTCTCTGCACGGAAAACGAAGACCAAAAACAAAAAGGAAAAGAAAAGAAACATCTGATTTTTGTTGCTCTCTCGAAGCTTCAAAAGCCGAAGAAGAAAGAACAAACAAAAAAAAAAAAACCCAAAACCTCGAAGAAACCGACTGGAACCGTCGGACTCTGAAGCAGATGCAACCGGCACCTGGCGGTAGCAGCGGCGGCGGCGGAGGAGTGAGTCGAACAGGACTTTCCCGGTTCCGGTCGGCGCCGGCGACGTGGCTGGAGGCTCTACTGGAGGACGAAGAAGAGGATCCATTGAAGCCGAACCAGTGTTTGACGCAACTCCTCACCGAAAACTCTTCCTCTGCCGCCACTACCAGAATCGCCTCCGTTAATCCTTTCGGTACTACTTCTTCTCCGGCCGCCGCCGATCTCAGCTCGTTCGACGCCGCCGGGTTTCTCCGGCAGAACAGCTCTCCGGCGGATTTTCTGGGCGATGGATTGTTCTCCGGCTTTGATGCTGGTCCGGCAAGCAGCGCCTTCGACTTGGCGGCGCCGGGGAATTTGAGCTCCGGGAGTAAGCGCGCCAGGGATGTCGAAGCTGCTCAGCAATTCTCCTCTCCCAAGCTCTCCAATCCGATAGTGAGTCTGCCGCTCTTTCTTTCTTTCTTTGTTTTTTTTGTTTTTGTTTTTGTTTTTGTTTTTCTGAATTTGGGAGAGACGTAAATATTCCACAATCTTTTACCAATATGATAAGTACGGTCTTCAGTTGCACGCGGAAGTCGACTTTAAGGGAAGTCGTAATTTTTTATGTAAGAAAATGAGATGGGATAGTTTTATTGTATGAGGAAAACTATCCCTGTTAGTAAACAAACTCATATTACATGAATATTTTTCTTATTTCCTTAGTGCGTTTACGTAGTTTGCTTTGTCCCTTGATGTTGCTTTTGGTTGGTTAATCTATTTGAATTACTGCAAATTACTAAAATTAAAATAAATAAATAAATAAAAGCACTCGTGTTGGATGGTTGGTGTGTCAAAATTTTGAATCGTGGGTCTAGCTTTTAATCGTGATATATGTGGAAAACTAAACAAACAAGATGTATTTTTTAAGTAAGAAGCATCGCCACTTCACCAGTTCTAAGCCTACATTTCTGCTTTTTCATTTTTATTGTTTTGAATATCTACTTCAGGTTTTCTTTTTGGGAATTTTTTTTCTTTTTTTTCTTTTTTTTGTTCCTTCTTTGTTTTTGTTTCCTTGATGTATACTTATTTTGCAGTCTACTAAAAATACACGATCTTGTCTCCAACCCTGATCAGTACTTTATTAGATAGCGAGCTTCGCTTTTAGTGGCGGTTTCGTTAGTGTGTGTTGTAATTTGTTTGATAGAAATTGGAGCAAGGTGGACAAGCTTCTGGTTTGATAGATATGGAGATGGAGAAGCTTTTGGATGATTCAGTGCCTTGTCGGGTTAGAGCCAAGCGTGGTTGTGCTACTCATCCACGGAGCATTGCGGAGAGGGTTAGATCCATTGCCTTTTTATCTTAGTGATGATCATGTTTTTGTGATAACTCCTTTGATTTTTTTAGTTGCTCTTCTGAAATTCTTTAATGGATAGGTTCGAAGGACTCGGATCAGTGACCGTATAAGAAAACTTCAGGAGCTTGTGCCCAACATGGATAAGGTCAGTCCACTCTTTTTAGTATATTTTAGTGGTGTTTTCATTTTGTTGTCTTTATTTATCTGTAATTTTTCTTGCACTATAGTCTTGTCTTTGCTGTAATTTGTGAGAGCTGAGTGATCCCACGAGCGTATTTTAGAAATTCCTTAACATTATGAAGATTGATAGTTAGAAGTAAGGAAACCATGTGGATGAAGGGAATCAATAATATAGCACGCGTTGGGGGACGATTACAGATAACACATTAACTTACGGAATTGATAATATTTGAGGCAAATTAAGAAATAAGATGTGTCTTTGCAAATTTTACGTAACCCAACATTTTCATCTCTTGTGGAACAATATTTTTTTGTACCTGTTAAGCTTTTACCTATTTCAATGAAGATGAACTATCTTTTAATTTGTCCACTAGAAGTTTTCAAATAAGACAAGTACCACTATAAGTTTTCAAAAAAGACAAGTATACCAAGTTAGCCTACACTTACTGAAACTTAATTATTGGTTGCATATTCATTCGAGGTTTATTCTGCCTGTTATTTTCAGAAAGTGTTAGTTTCAGGTCATTATGAGTTGAACCTTCTATGATATAAGCAGGCGATCATTAAGTATTATCTACTGTTTATAAGGAATTTGGCTCATTGATCGTTTACTGGTTCTCAAAAGCTTCCTTTGGCTTGGCCTCCAAATGAAATTTTAACCTCGATCGCTTTAGCTCGTGGGTCAACCTGAAATTGAAAGAAATCTAAATTGATTATAGTTTCCACATTTTCCCTTGGAAATTAAACCCGGTCAGTTGTGAATCAGTCAGCTATAGATATTAGTTATGGGTTCAAGTGAAGTTCTGGAGATTGGAATCCTTGTATATGTAGAATCACGACTTGAATTGATGATAGCGAAAAGTGTCTTTCTTTCTCCTTAATATATTGAGATTGTATTCATATCAAGAACTTTATAGTATGGATTTCTCCAACTATATTTTTAAATAAATAACTATATTGTTTTCAACTTTCTTTTTCCATTTTGCTTGCAGCAAACAAATACTGCTGATATGCTAGAAGAAGCAGTGGAGTATGTGAAATACCTTCAGAGGCAGATTCAGGTATATCATCTTTCTCTTGCTTAAGAAACTTGATATGTATCTTAAAGTCGGAAAACCTTTGGATATTTAAAATCCAACTTTGGTTTCATACATAGAAGCCATCTTACATACCTAAAGTCTCACGTGGATTAATTATAAGATAATTTGCGGGTTTATAAACCCTTGGGTCCTCAACTCTTGCCAGTCGGTTTTGCAAGGGTGAGTTTTATCCAATGGGATCCTAACTCTTCGTATGAGAGCCAGTCCACGTCGTGGGTACAAGTCGAAGCGATTGCATTATAGCCTGATTAAGATTCATTCCTAAAGCCGTCAACGCGTCAAATATTGCTGAAGCGATTGAAGAAGAAAAGGCCTATAGATCTCATCTTGTTTAGATTCCTACCCCATTGAGATTGTCCTAAAACACTAGATTTCATCGACCTTGTCTATCGTCCCACCAAATCACGTGTCTCTCTATCCCTCAACTCTGTCGCGTGTCTTCTAACGTCGAAAGCCCCAGGATTTAGCAATCGCCCCTCTAGAAATCCTAGGAGTTGGTTGCTTTGGAATTTTCAAGTTCTTCTCCAAATTCAGCAATCTCTGCAACATTTTTGGTCGAAAACGTTGGAACAAAACTGTCCTAGAATCACTCAAGCATGCAAATGGCCGCCATCTGATCTTACACAGATTCCTTTGTACGCCACTCAGGTTTCATCTCCCTTGTCTATCCTCTCACCACATTACGTGCCTCTTAATCCCTCGACTCTTTCATGTCTCCTCTGATGTCAAAAACACAGGATTTAACAATCACGCCTCTAGAAACCCTAGGAGTTGTTGCGTCGTAATTCTAAGTTCTTCTGTAGGTTTTGCAATTTCTGTAGCATTTTTGGTTGGAAACATTGAAGCAAAACCATCCTAAAATCACTCCAACACGCAACTGGCCAGCTCCAATCTTCCTATTGAAAACCAATCAAACGCCTAACCTTCCGTGAATTTCCATGCAAACATCACTTTTTCTTGCTCTAAAAAATGATTTTTCAATAAATTCCCTTCCTCACTTTCAATCTGTGCATTGAGGTTATCTCTTGAAGAAAAATGACATATCGCAATGTTGTCAACACTTGTACGTCTCCAAGCCCCAGGACAGAATTGTGTTGATACCATTTGATAAGAACCTAGCTAATCGCAGGAAATATGGTAGAAAAATAGTAGCAAGGAGAAGTAAAGGCAATTCGTGGTAGTGAGAAAACAATTGTCGATAGGACTTCGAGAGCCTTATCACACTCTCCTTAGCTTAAGCTGAAGCGATTTCGATGATAGGACTTCGACAGCCTTATCACACTCCCCTTAGCTTAAGCTGAAGTGATTTGGATGTAGCAGAAGCTGGAATTAGTAAAATTGAAGAAATAAAAATAAAAGGGATAGATACATTAAATTCACACAGAACGCCGGAAGAATAGCTTCAACATTCATTGATTGACACAATATCGTAAATTGGAAGAGAAAAATGTGTGTAATAACTTTTAATTTCATTCAACAATTTCTGGTTTTCATTACAAAAGGATGCACCTATTTTGAGGACATATGCAAATGAAAACTAGGCCAAATCGTCCTTTCCTAATTTTTAAAAAAATAATAATAATAAACAGAGGAAATTTTCCAAAAAAAAAGTAAATTTTGAATAGGATTGAGAAATTAAACCTATTTGACCGCGGAATAAGAAAACATAAACAGAATGAGAATTGAAATTCCTATGGCAACTTATTACGAAAACAGAAATTACTAAAAATTGAAAAGAAAAAAAAAAGAGCCTTTTCAAGGCCTAAGCGATGGAATTTGGCAAACAAATGGCACATTTTGTGGTGAATGGACCTTCGGAAAACCTAAAAAATAGGTTTATTTGGCATTGGGGTGATCCCAATGTGCCATGGAGGCTAGGTCTTTCGGTACCACATTAGATTCCCACTAATTTGACCACAAGTCTGATTAACTACCAAAACCCTATTTATTATACTACTAATTCCTACCAACAAACTCTAAGTACAGTTAACAAAATACTTAAAAAAAGAAATAACTAACCAACAACCTATTACCAAACCAATCATCAATTCCTGTAAGCATCTATTCAGGTATGGGCAAGAACTAGGGTGAAATAAACTTATTTGAGAACAATTGATGTTTGAAGGGTGGCTGAGCACAAAATTAAGCCGAATTGTTTACATTTTTATTTACTTTGAAATGACAGGAACTCTCAGAGCATCAAAGCAGATGCAAATGCACAAGCACAAACGAAGAATAACCAGCAGAAGGTACAGAAAATGCCTTCATACTGTTTCGTACTGGTGTGGTTATTAGATTCATGAGATTTCACTAGAGGTCCATCATGGTGGATTTTATATCCACCTTGTACTGTAGACATATATTTTCTTTGTTGCATTCTTCTCCAACATGACTGTTGGGAGTGCAGTAGATATAGTCCATATCCATTTATTTAGATATAGGGTTAATTTCATAAATATATCTTCTAGTTTTACGTTTTTTTATTTTTTGTTTTTTGTTTTTTGAAATTATAAAGGTATTCTTTGGATTTGAAAAACTTGTTTCAATTTCATCCCAAATGCACTTTTGTGGACAAAGGAAAAAAAAAGTTGGGTGAAAAGACAAAGTTACCCTTAAATAGTTTTTGAAATAAATTTTGAACTTTAAAAAAAAAATAAAACAAAACATAAATATAAAAAACAAATATGGAATTCTATATTTTTACAATGTGTAAAATATTTTTATAACTTTTTTTCTGCGGGAAGAATATTTTTTTTATAACTAAGGGTATTTTTTTCTTTTGTCTTTTTTTTATTTAAATCCACAAAGTAAGCAGGGATGAAATTGAAATAAGTTTTACAAATTTAAAAGATACCTTTATAATTTATAAAAGTAAAGGAATAATTATTGAGAAAAATTTAAAATTAGAAGGTATATTTATCTAATTAACCCTTTAGATATATATTAGCTTCCTCTTGGCAAAAGTTTGCTTAGTATGTATAAGTTTTGCTTCCATTATTTAGATCGGCAAAAGGAGAGAAACAAATTTTCTAGTTAATGTAGTTATTACCGTTTATTTGAACATATATGTAGCCTTCAAACATGCTTCTATTTATTATTTTTTTTTTCTACATTCACTAGCATTTATTTGGAAATTTTATTCCATACAGCTTTTTGTTAAGGTATGGATCACCTGAAGATTTTTCTAAATTTGATAATGGCTATTGTTTTCGGTACCTGATCTTCTAGCATGGTAATTTTCCCTTTCCAGATATATGTTTGTACATTGTGATCGTATGGGGCAAAGATTCCAGTGGGAAGTTTCAATTAATTTATATTTATTCTTCTTAATAATATAAAAAGAACTATAACTAATGGAAATTGTAGTAAATGAGACATTTTTAAAACACTAAATTAAGTAAATAACAGATTTTAAAACTATTTGAAGTACTGTGTAAATATTTTATTTACGACTAGTAGAAAATAAATTTACGTGGAAAAAAATCTTTTTATCAGTCGTAAATGAAATATTTATGCGGTAGATTGTTATTTACTTCAAATAATTTTAAAATTTACTATTTACTTAATTTAGTTTAATAAATTTGTTGTTTACTGCATTCTCCTTGAATTGAACACATATCGCCAAAGTTGTTATAGCTCTAGCCTCTTACCATTAGCATTCTCCTTTCTATGGAGTTATAATGTTATAATGTCTTAAGAATGTTATTGTTGGAATCGTTTCTGAAATGATGCAATTTATTAGTTTTCTCGAGAGTTATAGTCTGAAAATATACAAGGAGCATACGACCACGAGTCTTAAAAAATGAAAACGAAGAAGAGAAAACATCTCCCAGGAGAAATGGAATCAAAACCGATTTCAAAACCATTTCAAGTTTGGCATACCTCGAGAAGCACAAGAAAACGTTTCTAAAATTCATTTCCAAATAACACTCCGTTATATATCTTGATATCCGCTAATTATAGTCATTTTTAGAAGATTTAAACTTCAGTGATTTCCTTTGCGCCTTCTTGCGGTTAATCGTTTGATTTTCCAACTTTTCATACGCGTTTATGGTTCAATCAAGAACAGGCACTGATCTAATATTAGTTTAATTATCATGTATTTAATGCGAGAAAGCCCAATTATCAAGTGCCCACAGTTGTGTACTTTATGCAACCCTGTATGCTTTTGCAAGCTGATGTGAACTGAATTAAACAGTTTCTGATCCAACAATGCAGATAATTTCCATAATCATTACACTCTATTGACAACTTTTAGCAATCGGTAAGTGTGCATAAAAATATGTATATGCACACACGCACACACATACACATAACTCATAACTCAATTCAATGCCCATATGTTGGTCTTAACAAGATATGACCTGGGTTTTGGTAAGAACAAGATAATATGTCCTTCCCAAATTAATTGAATGAATAATACATAAAATGAGATGTTTATATGAGATTCCAGGTATTGTAGTAGTTCCTTTCCTTCCGGGATCAATTACCAATTGTTGGTGAGTGAGATCCCTGGACAATTCGGATCGTTATTAAGATATGGGAATTCTGATGTTCACATTGATGACCCTAAAGAGTGAGTATATATATATATATATATGTATATATATATATATATATATATATATATATTGGTCATTGAAAGGTTAATTTATCAATGTTATAGCATTTCCTATAAAACTTTATTGGTAATGGACCAGACAGGAGATGGCTGCTGAAAAGCAGTATCATAAAACTCTGGCGCACGATTAAATTATAAAATTGCATGTACTTTTCAAGATCAGTTCTTTACACTTAACTAGAAATGGATCGATTTTATGTGTATGTATTTTTTGGAATAGACGTTGGACAAAATTTAAAAGAACAACTTGTTGATACGAACATATGCACGAGATCATTTTTGTGGAGCCCCTGAAAAGGTTACTAGTATATTTCTCCTGTTAATTGCTTCTTGGAGTCTTTGATACATAATAATTTTTCAGCTTTAATTTCTATCAAGTATCAAGGCTTCCTTTTTTTTTTTTTATTTCCATTGGTTTCGGAAAAATATAGATCTCTTTTTTTTTGTGTGAATAATATATATGGTTTAGAGAAAAGCCAAAAGTAAAATGAAAAATTAATGCCCAAATTAGTTTTTTCATCTTATGCATGCATGTCGAACGTCCTGTAGAGGATGAAAATAACGGTCGTTTTGTCTACATTTCTCTCATAAAATCCGCAAGTCAAAGACAATCATTAGAAATGCATGTGATAAGAGATATTTCTTGCATGAGAATTTGTGAAATACCTAAAAGTTCTAATACCTAATTAATTGCCTAAAATTTTAAAATAGTATCCAGGTGTCAAAATTCAAGTACTTCTACATTCCATGAGAACAAAAAAAACGTGCTACTTAAAACAGGGAAGCTCGAAATATTAAGCGTATTTGAAACTCATTTTAAAATAATTTTATTTTTTGTATGAAAATAAAAATGAAAATGTTTTCAATTTCAAATAGAAATTGTTTTTGAAAATGCGTTTAGTAATTTTATTAAGATATTATTTTCAATATAAAAAACTCATTAATATATCTCTCTCTACTCGAGAGAGGAGAAAATAAAAATAAAAAATGAAAAATGACTAAAAGTCGTTTTTCATTTTTCTCTCATTTTACACTAAATTAAAAAATTATTTTCATTTCTATATTTTATCTTTATTGCGTCAAACACTATTTTATAAACGTTTTCACTTTTTCTTTCTCAAAAAACATAAAAAATAAAAATGAGATCAATTCCAAACACGGCTGCACTTACGTGGCACTTTCATCTTGAAATATTCCAGACGACAATGCGTATATTCTATGCAAACAAATAGAAAACACATTTTCTCTTACCAATTGAGAATCGCACAAAGTTTCTACGGATGAGAAAAGCACTACAAATGAAAAGCACATTAAGCTTTGGTAATTATTGAGCCAACAAACTTTTGTAGCGCAACAGAAGAGCCAGATTCTCCAAGTGCAGCCGAAGCCATGTCCTTCATCTTCAAGCTTTCATGGCGGATCTCTTTCCCATGTTCCGAGTCTATCAATTCCCTAACTCTTCTCTCAACCTCATCCCCACTCACAAACCCATCTCCTTCTCTTTGCTCCACACCCACAGCAATCCCCAAGTCTTTCACCATCACATTCCTGTTCATGTGCTGCTCCGCGTAGAGCGGCCACGCCACCATCGGAACCCCGGCGACGACCGCCTCGAGCACCGAGTTCCATCCGCAGTGCGTCACAAACCCCCCGACTGCCTCCTTTCTCAACCCCGCCACTTGCGGCGCCCAAGATCTCACCACCATTCCCCTCTCTTTCGTCCTCTCCAGAAACCCCTCCGGAAACAGACTCTCCCATTCAAAATCGTCTCCCAACTCCTCCGTCTGCTTCGTCTTCTCATCGCTCGGCGGCTTCTTCACCACCCAAAGAAACCTCTGCCCACTCCTCTCCAATCCATTCGCGATCTCCCTTATCTGCAACGCCGAGAACGATCCTCTACTTCCAAAGCACAAGAACACCACGCTTCTGCTCGGTTGCGCGTCAAGCCACGCCAAGCAATCGGCTGATGTTTCGTTACTACTTTCCATCTTATCGCGGGCCTCATCAATCAACGGTCCGATACAATACACCGGAGGAGTAGGCCCTTCCGGAACACAAACTCCATTTGCTAGAGCCTCGATCGGAATTGGTTCGAGCCCGTCGAACGTGTTGACCAAGATACCAACCGATTTCGGAAGATAGGAACAGAAATAGACCATATCCCAGTATGCAGCGTCGTCTCTGTCAAGCATCGGCTCCGGCATGTGAGGAGAATTGAGAGGAGGCATTCCGGGGAAGTAAAGAACGACACCGTCCATGTCCTTGAAGCTCTTCGTTGTTTGGTCGTGTATTTTTGGAAAGTACAAGAAGGCGGCGAGGACAGCGGCGCCAGAGGTGAAGAAGTAGTACGTGGGGATCCCCATGTTCATGGCGACGTCGAGAGCGGAGGCGCAGAAGATGTCGATGACGACAGCGCGTACGGCGGAGGACTCGGAGATGTCTTTGAGGGCTTGAGCCACGTTGGGGCGGTTGAGGCGGACGAAGTCGAAGCGGGTGGCGGCATGGCTGTGGGTGGAGGCGGCGTCGACGTGCTGGAAAGGGAAGCGGAGGAAGGAGATGGCCGGGTGGGAGTGGGAGATGCGGTTGATGTAATTGGCGAGGGCGGGGCTGTCCATGAAGCCGGTGGTGAGGAGGATGGTTATGGTGAATCTGTGGGAGGAGTGGCTTAGGATGAGCTTGCCTAGCTCTACCATGGAAACTACATGACCAATTCCCGGAGATGGGTAGAGTACTATGGCATCCTTCTTTGCTCTGCTGTCCTTTTCTTTTTGTTTTTTTATTATCATCATCTTTTGTTGGGATTTGATTGTAGCTTGAGATTTACATATATAGAGTGAGAGAGAAAGAGTTTGGGTAATTAGGTGAGGGAGATTTGTGCTCCAGCTTTCTTTATTTGTAAACAATGTGGTAAATCATCACTGAAGCTTGAAATTAGGTACATGTCATATTTGGCTCCGGTCCTCTGAATTTTTCTAAAGTGGGACCCTTAATTGCTAAATCTGCTTTTTTTTCTTTGAAGTGATGGATGTACTGTTGCATGATGTATAGCCAAATTAGGACGTTAAGAAGCAATATTTTATCTGTTTAATTCATTGATTTGATATTTTAATTTGAATTAAAATATAATTTTATATGAGAATTTTTTATTAATATAAAAAAGTTAAATGTGACTGTTTTTTAAATTTTTTTATTATAATAAAATTTAAATTTTAAATTCAAATCTATATGACATATATTTTTATTCGTTAAAAAAGTAAACAACAAAATAGAAAGAGAAAAAATAAAATCTTACTAGAGTTTGGAGCCCCTTCTTGTTAAAAAGAAAAATAAATGACAATTAAAAAAAGAAAAAAAAAAGGGAGAAGAAAGTAACAATAGAATTAGCGTATTGTCAAGGAGAAACAAAACAGGAAACATTACTATAAAATTGAGAAACCTTGTTAGCCGATATTATCCGACACATTGTTGGACATGCCCCCACTCAGATGTTGAAAGTTTCTTTCAACGAATTTAGATTTTTTTTTCCAGAAAAATAACAATAACCGTGCCCTTAACAAATTAAGAAATTATACATATGCCTTTGCCTTCCTCATTAAAAACATTGTATATGTGTTTGTACTCGATAATATAAAATTCTAATCAAGGAGATACTCCATAAAATATAATGTACAATTGTTTTTTAAAATAACACTTGCAACAAAAGTTTTTCTCAATATTTATCATTACACAACCCTAATTCATAAAAGTAAGCTATAAATGACTTACTTGATGTTGTGCGGGAAAATATGTTTTGATACGTCGGACAACAACAGTGCTCCACATGGCCTTGCAATAACCTCGTCGGCCAAACCGTCGACCCGTCATACCGCCGACCTAATAAGACCTCGGTGTTTACCCAACTCACCCATATCAGGGGTCTCGTTAAGGTCGACCGTGTAAAGGGCGACGCCTAGCCCAGTTCTCATATGGGCTCATAAAGTCGACCGTATATACAAAAGGTCAGCTGGAAGCCGACCGTATAAACGTGAGACCCCCTGAGGTAACATGTGTGCTTGGAAGAAGTTTGTAATGCAGGCATTAATTACAAGTACTTAAACCATCCTCAACTATACGGTGGAGGGTTACAGGGAGTGCAGAGCCGTAATGGATGACTAATTAGATAAATGAACAGTCCAAAAGGTGATTAGCTGGCTATGGGTCTAAGCCCATAGGATGGCAGGCACTCGAGTGGAGGTCTACAGAGAGGTCTACAGAGAAAAACTGCCCATGAAGTAAACTTGGCTATAAAAGAGGGGCAAAGCCCCAGGCTCGAGAGGTTTTTTTTTTTCTTTTCTTTTTCACATGTAATTGGAGAACAGAAAATACATACAACAAAACAGTGGATGTAGCTCTTGATTAACAGAGTGAACCACTATATACCCTGTGTCTTTACATTTGAGTATCGCTTTTCATGTTATTCTCCACCGCAATAGTACAACACACACTTTCACAATCAAATTTTGGCCGGTAACCTCACGGGATACCAGGAGGTAACCCGGCGTAACCCAATTGACGAAATTTGACCATCAACACTTGATATAAATAAAATCCTTTTACGTAGTTTGGAACTAGGGGATCTCCTTGAGTTTATATAAATTCGTGAACTAAAATGGGATATTAGCAGCCAATTTTTCACTAAACTAAGTGAAATAAAAAGCCAAGCTTGGGAATTAACGAAAGAGAATTTAGAATCCACTACTCATCTTTTACAGTCGTGACAATATGCCATCTTCCTTGTAGTTAACATAGTATTTCTTGCACAATATGAGTAGTCAGTTTCAGCTAAGTGTATGACATTAGAGGAATGTCAAATACTATTGCGTGTAACCCAGGTCGAGTATATGCTTGTGCCAAAATTCACTATCAAGTGCCAAAAATACTTGAGATACACGACAATATTTGACATCCTAGTATATAAAAGTACAAATACGATTGTTCCATTTTTTTTTGTTTTGGTGGCGGTTTCTCTAAGTAAATTTTAACACTTTATAAATCGTTTAATTAGTCGAATGATAGAAATCGAAATAAAAAAATAGAGACAACATATCTAGATTCGTAAGAATACATACCATTCTCATATTTCTTTAACCGTTTTACAGTGTAAAAGTATTTGTTAGTAATTTATATTTCTCAATATTAAATATAATGAAAATCACATGAAAATATATGAATTTGAGAAAATATTGATACATGTCTAATGGTTTAAAACAAAACTATACATTAGTTAAGGTAGTTTTTATACACTATCGTAGAAATTTCTTTTCCTTACATTTTTTGTTTTTGCTTACGTTGGCAATGAATTAATTTTGGTACCGTCAAAAAGACAAATAAAAAGGAAATGAGGCCGTCACGTTTATGCCCTTGAGCTGAAATGTCACCGTTCTACATGTGCCCAAAAAAGAAAGAAAAGAAAAGAAAATAGAAAACAATTCTGGCTTATATCTTTTTTTTTTCCGTCAAAAAAATTATTTTTTCTCTATAAAGGATAAGTTATTAATTAGGGACTTTTTTGATGTTCTCTATTTTAAAATACCAGTGTTTCCTACTTATCAAAATCTATATTAAATTTGGTTAAAAATTAAATCAGGTTGAAAAACTAAAATAAATCTGACAGCTGATAAATAAAAAATATTAGCGTTCTTAAAAAATAGTTAACACCATAAAAATCCCATTAGATTATAATCAAATTGTTAACTCAATAATCACAATATCCGAAATACAAGACGGCACCTCTTCTAATTAGAATTAGTTGCAATCAATATCCCAATTTTTTTCTTTTTGTTTTAAGAGTGACAATAGAGTCGCACGCATTGTTGGATGTATAATTTAAAACTTAACAATTTGCATTCTACTTTTTTTTTTTTTTAATTTAGTTTACCTGTATTGTCACAAAAGAATGCAAGTTGGGAAGTGTTGATCAGTGCGAGGATTTTTTGTTTTGGTGAAAGACACTAATGCCCTTGCATTGATAGTAGCCAAACATTCAATTTGCTTAAACAATAGGATGTTTAGTCACATGTCTTGAAAGGGGAATTTATGCCTCCACTTTGGTCAACACTTAACTTGTACTTCTCAATTCTCATGGTTGACAGGTGGTAAAAATAATGACCGGAAGAATAGGTCCCCCGTCAAAATAGGCCGACGGAAAAGAACAACCCAAACAGGCTAAGTACTTGCCCCGAGTAGGCTGATAAGGAAGAAAAGCCCGAATAGACCAAGCACCTGATCCGAACATGCCAAATAAGCCGATGGGGAACAATAGCTCTAATAGGCCGAGCACCTGTCTGAGTAGGTCGATAGGGAAGAACATCCCGAACAAGTCGAACACATAGTCTAAACAAGCTAAACGGGAAAGAACAGGTCAAAAAAGCCGAATAGGTTTACCTGGCCGAACAGACCGAACAAGCAGACAAGGTCGAACAGTCTGAACATGCAGACCAGGGCGAGCACCTAGTCCGAACAGGCCGAGCACTTGATCCAAGTTGGCTGAGCAGTGGTCCGAGCACTAATCAACAACGACTGACGGAACAAGACAAGTTCCTAATCAGCCAACTGACTGCCACATGACCTCCTCTTTGCAATCCCAATGGACGCTCCCTCCACTTATAGAGATGTGACACATATCATCTGACCGAGACATCTGTACACCTAAGTCACCTTCAGGTTTCGGGTCGGATCCGGGCAATACCCGGATCCGAAAATACTCTATAAATACCAAGCTCATTAGCTCACAGAGGTAAGAACATTTTTCAACACCTAACTCTGCCTAGTCATTTGTTGCTCCCGACTAGAACACTAACTTGAGAGTCGAAGTACCATTGGCAAACATCACAGTCACACCGGTGTCTCCTTTACTCCGAGGCCATCTCCTCAATTGTTGGAGGTCAGAACAGTGCTAGGAGCTGAGCAGAACAGTGCTAGGAGCTGAGCAAAACAGTGCTAAAGATCTGCCTTGAACAATGCTATAACCCGAGCATAACAGTGCTAGAAATCTGTTCCGAACAGTGTTATGGATCTGACTAGAAAGGGCAGAAAACATAATCCGGTTACTATGCACTTCTACTTGCGGTGTTGTGCCGGATTTCGGCATCAACACTCACCATCCAAAAGTTAATTGATTTTCGTCAAAATTCATCTCTAAAGAAATCTTAAACTTCTTGATATGTGCACAGAATTCCAAAATACACACTAAAAAAATAAACAACTGAGTTTTTTTTTTCTCCTTAATTCTGAATCATGATTCATGGTTCTGTACAGTATTTTTTCTCACAAAAAATACACGTAAAATGAAAATAATTCTGAATACATAAACTAAACGTATTGTTGTGTTTCTGTATACATCAACCTCAACTAGACTTAAATTAAAAATTAAAAAAAACCCCAACTGGGAAAAAAAAAATAGAGAGAGGCTAGTAATGCTCATATCAACCGATTATCAATGAAATCTGTGAATCTATCATTTACTAATTATGAGGAGTGCTAAATGTTACGGTCTCATTTAGTTTGTTGATTTGAGTTTTTAATTTGAGTTGAGATGTAATTTTATGTAAAAAAATTTTATTATAATAAAAAAGTTAAATGTAACTATTTCTAAAATTTTTTTATTATAATAAAATTAAAATTCTAAATTAAAATTGATAAAATAAACGGATTTTATATTTACATTTCAGTTTGATTATTTATTCTCTAGCAATATATATTTAAAATTATCTACTTAATATTCACGATCCTATTTTCTTATAAGCATGTCTTTGTTATGTAATGTATATCTATCTATATAAATATCATGACCAAACGACATACACAATCTCTATACTTTATTTCTACGCAAAATATAATTTCTGTCGTCCATGACACGTCATCATTACATATCGTGTTTGACCAGTGCCTTTTCCA